GACTCAGTCACAGCATCACTCACTACATGGAATGGTCCATCATCAGGTGACTCAGTCATAGCACCACTCACTACATGGAATGGTCCATCATCAGGGGACTCAGTCACAGCATCACTCACTACATGGAATGGTCCATCATCAGGGGACTCAGTCACAGCACCACTCACTACATGGAATGGCCCATCATCAGGGGACTCAGTCACAGCACCACTCACTACATGGAATGGTCCATCATCAGGGGACTCAGTCACAGCATCACTCATGACATGGAATGGTCCATCATCAGGGGACTCAGTCACAGCACCACTCACTACATGGAATGGTCCATCATCAGGGGACTCAGTCACAGCATCACTCTCTACATGGAATGGCCCATCATCAGGGGACTCAGTCACAACATACAAGAGCTCACTTGACAAGAGAGAAATGTACAGGTCAGCAAACCCAACTATCCCGTATTACTTCCAAATAATTTTTGAATGGAGTATCTTCAGTCATGGTTTTTAGTTATAATCAACTATTTTGATGTTAAAATGTTTTGTATTAGAGAGATAGCTCAGTGGTTCAGGGCATTTGCTGTTCCTCCAGTTCCAGGGTATCCAATGCCCTCTTATGACTTCTGAGGACACCTGGACACATAGTACACATACACGCACATAAAATAAAAATAAAATTAAAAAAATTAATTTAAATGATGTTAATTCAAATATACATATTCAAAGAACTTACCCTGCTTAAAAGAGACACAGGGCTAAAAGGTTTGGGAGCTTTAAGGACATATATTATGTTCTATGCTCGGTTTGTTTCAAACAAAACCATGAAAACTGGAAGCAGCAGGAAGTGACTTTGATGTCCTATGGGAGGAAGATGAACACACACAGAGACGTTCTCTGAAGGATCTGTTCACTGGCTTTAGCCAGCACATGGAGCACTTTACTTTACATTGCCCAGTAAGCAATGTCATCTGGTAACATTTCTCGTTATTTTTACAAAGATACCAAAATTCCAAACTTGTCAGTACATAAAATAAATAAGTATAATTCAAAAATGTAAGAAGTAAGAAAGAATGGGGAGGTGGAAGGCAGTGGACTGGCAGGGACGGTGTTCACACAGCACACAGCCACTGACAAAGTCCACAGAGCTACAGTGATCAAGACAGCACGGTGCTGGCACAAGACAGACAAACACACCAAGGAATGCAGTCGCGAACAGCAGAAGACACTTGGCTATATGATGACATCATTTTGACAAGGATGCTAAGATCATTTACCAGGGACCAGCGGATACTTCAACCAATGGTACTGACACCCGGACAACCACACACAAGACAATGAAATTAGACATTTACCCAATGCCACATACTTAAAAACTAATTCAAAACACACAGCCAGTAACTGAAAGTTCTATGTTCATAAATTCTTAAATGTGACAACACATGCATAGGCAACTAAAGCAAGAACAGATGAACAGAACAATATCAAAATCAAAACCTCAGTTGCATCAAAAGTCACAATCCACAGAGTGAAAAGGCAATCTATGGGCTGGGAGGGCCGTCCAGCTGGTAAGAGAGCGCCACCCAGAGGACACAGAGAACTTCTGCCACTCAGCAGCAACCCAACCAAATGAACAAAGAGAAGAATCTGGGAGTGGTACCATGCACCTGTGTGATTCTAGAATTTACGAGAAAGAGACAGAGGGATTGCTGCAGGTGTGAGGTCAGCCTGGGGTACATGGTGAGACAAGACAAAGCAAATGAAAACGCTCAATATGTCAATTAAATAACCTAGGTCAGGAATGACAAAGAGGCTGAGTGGTTGAGAGCACTTGCTGTCCGTCCAGAGGACAGAAGCTTGGTTCTCAGCACACACGTTGGGCAGCTCACAACCACCTGTAACTCCAGTTCCAGGGAATCTAGTCCCCTCTTCTGGCAGCTGAACCCTTCTACAAAATATGTCTCATGCACACACATACATGTAAATGTTCTCTCTCTCCCCCCTTTCCTTCCTTCCCTTCCTTCCTTCCTTCCTTCCTTTTTTTTTTTTTTTTTTTTTGTTTTTT